ATGAGAAGGTGTTCCTTAGCTCAATAGCAGCTCGGCCACGTACCCCGGATGCTTTGGCCAACTAATCATGCTTACTTGTACATGTTAGTTTTTCTTCAGCATTCTTGCCATCTTGGCATGCAGTAAGCAATAGCAGCTTGGACACATTAGCCGAGTCATTACCTGTCCGCGAAAAAGTGATTAGGTGGTCCTTTGCTCAATAGCAGCTTGGACACCCATCCATGGCCGACCATCTATGCACTCGGCCAAACAGCTCGGACAAGTTTTTTTTTGTTTTTTTTAAAAAAAATCAATATTCTTAATCATAATAATGACGTTGCCTGCAAGAATACCATCATTCCGCCTTAACACTCGTTCATTACATCGAGTTTCATAATTGTATTTGACTCGAAAAATGTTTAAGGGCCTTTTTCGGGCTTTAAACGAACTCAGATGGCTAAAAAAGCCTATTGTTCACTGTTAGCAGTGAGTTGGACTCGTTAGGCCATTTCCCTTTCAAAAAATACATTTTTTGAGGCATTCTGAAAAGTACAAGTTTTTGCCGATTTTCTTCATCGCTCGAAGGCATATGTTTGCCTAAAAGGGATAAGATAGTTCCGTACACGAAGGCAACTCGAACGCCCAGTGCTGGCCGACCAATTATGCTTCTGTGGGCGAGGTTTTCTATTTCATTCGGCGAAGACGCTTGGCCACGTTGCAGGCCGTATAAAAGTAGGAACATAGGCTCTTGCTCAATAGCAGCTCAGCCAGGCAGCTGCTTGGTTAAAGTGTTGCCTGCTCGGACAGGCTTGCTGCTCAGCTAGGTTGGCTCTCGACCAACTATGCTACGAAGGGCATACCTTTCATTTTCACTCGACCAAACTTCCTTAGCTGTATCAAATTCAAAACATGAAGCTTTGCGTGAGGGAAACTCGGCCAGCTTTGCTGGGACATTAGTTCGACCTGAAACTGAAACTCAGCCAGGCAAGTCTTCTCGACCAATCAGGCTGCGGCCGCATAGAATTGATTAGATAGTTCCTTGCACAAAGGAAGGTTGGACACAAAACTCGGCTACCGTCCGACCACCTATGCTTGCGAAGACCATCTTCTTGTTTTTACTCGGTCTCTTGCGCTGCTCGGACAGGCTGCTAGTCGCATAAAATGGCATAGGATGTTCCATGCTTGAAGGCTAGTTGAACACAAATCCATGGCCAACCAGCTATGCTTACGAGGGCAAGCTCTCACATTTTACTCGGCCAAAATGCTGGCCGCACAAAAGTGGAGAGGTGATGCTTCTCTGATGTGCAACTTGGCCAGGCAGCTTGCTGCTTGGCCATGCTGCAGCAAGCTCAGCCAGGCTGCTTTTGGCCGAGCATCTATGCTCGTGTTGGCGAGCTTTTTATTTTTCATCGCCCAGGTTGTGGGCCGTATGGAAGTAGGAACGTGGGCCTTTGCATGAGGGAAACTCGGCCTTCTGCTGTTGCCGACCATCTATGCTTATGAGGGGGAGCTTATTATTTTCATTCGACCAGTATTTGTGCAACGAAGTGATGTTGCCGTTTAAATGTAGGGCCGATCAGCTATTCTCTGTGCCCACATTGATACTCTTTTGCTCGGTCGAGGTAGAGTAAGGTGCTCTCTTATAGTTCCGCATAATAGCTTTGTGTATAACATGACACTTGGCTTGCTGCTCCTTGGCTTGTCATCTAGTCAATTGCTTAATGGGAGGTATAATAATAAAAATAATATTATTAACATTATAATAATATTATTAAGTTATTATTTATAAGCATAATAATAATGCTCATGCTAAAAGCATAGTAACGAAAACCGAGCAGTTCAAGCTTTATGGATGCCGCCAATATTCGTAAGTGCCGAACAACAAATTCCATGGGGGATCTTGGCAATTTCATTCGGCAATGCGGTCGCTTAAAAACAAGGAGATGGGCTTCCTCTAACATGGAGCTCAGAAATAATCATGCCGAGTAGCTCAAGGTAACTGACCCGCTCGACATATAGCTGCCCCCGTGGTTGTCCGACCTTTAAATGCCGCTTAACTCATGAAATAAAGCGAGATATCTTCCTGGCGCTTGCTTTATAGAGTTTAAAGCTTTCTCGCGTCGAACTCGGCATTTGGCCGTGTACTTTTGGAATGCTAGTTGCTCTTGAAAGACCTGCTTGGCAGTTTAATTTTGTTGTCTTGCTCTTGTTGCAAGGGGGAGGCTTTCGAATTTCTCACGGCCACAACAATGCCGCATGGTGCCGGGCAGCTATTCTTGTAGAAGCCACTTCTCCAATTTCACACGGCCTTGCTTCCATTTCACCAGCTTTCCTCCTAGAAGTTCGCAAGTGGTTCATTGCTCAAAGGCAGGTCAGACGCCGAGATGGCCGACCATCTTTTCTTGTAAAGGCGTGCTTTGAAATATCTCACGGCAACCATGTCGTCTAGAAACAAAGAGGTGAGCCTTTTGTCACGTGCTGACTAATCCCCCTAGTCTTAAGCACGTTAGCCTACTAACTTCCCTCTCCTGGATGCTAGTCAAGGCTTAACCCCGAAATGCTTTTTAAGCAAGAGTGTGCAACAAAGGCTAAGAGAATGCGAGAATACAAGAGAATAATAACTTTGAAGGCTTTTTGATCGCTTGAGAAAGAGTGTGTACATGTGCTATCTGAGATGCCTCCAAATGAAGGCCAAGTCCCCTATTTATTGGGTTCTAAGCATGTCCTAGAACCTTCACTAACCTCCTCAAATGGTGGGTTCTAGATCTATCCTTTCTGGAGTTTTCTATACATTTCTTTAGTACATTCCTTCCAAGTACAATGCTCTAGAATGCTCTATACAATTCTAGTATTTATAGTTTATGTGAGGATAACCTAGGAGGTTCTAGAAGCTTCCGAGTGTATCCCGAGCCTCCTTAAACATTCTGGAATCTTCCGGGCCCCCCATCTTCAAAATCCAACACTACCGTGAGGTTCATTGGACCCAAAAATAATGATCCCCCAAGTTTGGGCTCCATCAAACTTCGTTTGGGCCCCCAAATGGCCTATTATTGTGTTATTGTCACTTGGGTGTTTAGTAGGATTACACTACCTGGGCTAAATAAAGCTCTATAGGGGAAGGTGCTTAGCTGGGCACCAAGGGCAAGCCCCTCACCAAGGGCAAGCCCCTAGGCAACGATTTTTGGTTGCTGCCCAATAACCCTAGTGAGGGGTGGGGATGTGTGGGTCGTGACATGCTCCCCTACCAAAGTCTTTACGTCCTCGTTAAGATCCCAACTCGAATGCTTCGATTTTGTTCGCAAATTGCCACAAGTCTTCTTCTTTTTCACACGAGGCCTCGCTGTCTTGGAGGCCCTTCCAACGGACAAAATATTCATTATAACTTGGCACCTATCATCGCTTATGACTCTTTTTGCCTCGATGCTTTCGATGTCCCTTTCAAACAATGCCACAAGGGTAGTTGGTGCCCGTTGTGATTTCCCCTTTGCCTGATCCTCTAGGTCAGCATGATAGGGCTTCAGCATACTTACATGGAACACCGGATGTATTTTCAGCTTGGGAGGTAGCTCAAGCTTGTAGGAAACTTTCCCAACCTTCTTTATGACCGGAAATGGCCCTTCATACTTCCGCACTAGACCCTTATGGACCTTGCGGAAGACTTTGAATTGATGTGGCAAGAGCTTCACCATGACTAGGTCGCCTTCTTGAAATTCCAATGGGCGTCGGTTTTTTTCAGCCAACTTCTTCATCTTCTTAGCGGCCTTGTTCAGATAAGCTTTGGTAATATCAAGTTGCTCGTGCCACTCCTTGGCCAATCTATAGGCAGCGGGACTGTTACCCGTGTAGCCCGATGCAATGGCTTGTGTGTCAAGGGTTGCTGGCCCATGACTATCTCAATGGGACTTTGTTGTGTTGCCTCGGACCACTGCAAGTTAAAAGAGAATTGGGCAATGTCTATGAGCTTCGCCCAGTCGCGCTGATTGGCACTCACAAAGTGCCTTAAATAGAGCTCCAACAAGGCATTCACCCTTTCGGTCTGCCCATCTTTCTTTGGGTGAAAGCTAGTAGAGAAGTGAAGACCTGACCCTAAGAGTTTAAAGAGCTCTGTCCAAAACTTTGCTGTGAATCGTGGGTCACGGTCGTTGATTATACTCTTTGGCAAGCCCCAATATTTCACCACATTCTTGAAGAATAACTTGGCGGCTTGCTCACCTGTATAATCCTTGTGTGCCGGTATGAAAGTCTCTTACTTGGAAAAGCGATTAACTACCACCATGATTGAGCAAAACCCCTCTTACTTGGGCAAGGCAGATATGAAATCCATTGAGACCCTTTCCCATGGCCTCTTCGGTATAGGCAAAGGCTCCAAGAGTCCTGCTAGCACACGTTGCTCCACCTTGTCTTGTTGGCACACAAGACAAGTCTTCACATAGGCCTCTATATCGTCCCGCATATGAGGCCAGTAGTATACCTCCTCTAAGAGTGTCATTGTCCGCTGTATTCCAGGGTGACCAGCCCATAATGAATCATGAAACTCCATCATGATGTCGCGTCTAAGGTTGTCTCACTTAGGCACATAGATACGACAACGTCCGACGGTGTAGAGTATCCCATCCTCTACCCAGAAACGTCGAATCTTCCCTTTGTTAGCCAAGTCCATCAAACTCTTGGCCATAGAATCCTCCTTCAAGCCATCCTTGATCCGACAAACGAGGGTGCTAGCTTTACTACTCACACTAGCAAATATTACATTGCGGCTTAAAGCATCAGCAACTACATTCACATTTCCTGGCTTGTACTCCATAACGTAATCAAATTCAGCAAGGAAGTCTTGCCATCGAGCTTGCTTGGGGCTAAGCTTCTTTTGATTTTAAAAGTAACTCGTTGCAACATTGTCGGTATAAATGGTGAACCAACTCCCAAGCAAATAATGTCTCCAGACACGCAAGCAATGAATGATAGCCGTCATCTCCTTATCATGCACCGGGTATCTCCTCTCGATGTCATTGAGCTTGCGTGATTCATAGACCACTGGATGCTTCTTGCATAAGAACACCTTCGATAGCAAAGTTTGAGGCATTAGTGTATAGCTCAAATGGCTTTGAGTAGTCGGGCAGTGCTAACGTGGGCTCTTTGGTGACGGCATCCTTCGAAACATCAAAGGCCTCTTGACATTTGTCGCTCCAACACCATTGTGCCTTCTTCTTCAGCAGATCATTCAATGGTGCTGCCCGTGCTGAATAGCTCATATTGAACCGCCTATAATAGTTGGAAAGCCCAAGGAAAGAACGCAGCTCTGACACATTCTTGGGCTCCTCCCACTCCCTAATGGCTTGCACCTTATCATGCTCCATCATTATCTTTTCGGCTTTAATATGGTGTCCAAAAAATGACACCACCTCCTGACCGAACGAGCACTTCTCTTGCTTCACATAAAGCTTGTTCTCTCGTAAGACCTGGAACACCTGTCTCAAATGATCCACATGATCTTGTAAGTTGTCGCTATACACGACGATATCGTCGAGAATGACGACTAAAATTATCTAGGAAAGGCCGGAAAATCATATTCATTAAGGTGCAAAAAGTAGATGGGGTGTTGGTGATCCCAAAAGGCATCATCAAGAATTCATAAGAACCATACCTGGTCACGCATGTCGTCTTCGCCTTATCCCCTTCGGTGATGCGCACCTACCAATACCCTGACCGCAAGTCCAACTTGGAGAAGTATCGTGCTTTGCCAAGGCGATCGAACAAATTAGCGACTAACGGGATTGGATATTTGCTCTTCACAATGATCTTGTTGAGAGCCTCATAGTCAATGAAAATTCGCAAGCCGCCATCATGCTTGCGTTGAAACAGCACTGGTGCTCCAAATGGTGCCTTTGAGGGCCTGATATACCCAGCTTCCAGTAGCTCCTTCAGTTGCTTCCTCAATTCCATAAGTTTTGGTGGGGCCATTCGGTATGGTGCCATGGCTGGGGGCTTAGTCCTCGGCTCCAGCTCAATCTCGTGAGCTACCTCCCTCCTATGGGGTAGCCTCTTGGGTAACTCCGGAGGCATCACGTCCTTATATTCCTCAAGGACTCCAGAGCATTCTGATGGAACCTCATCCCCATGTGGCTCCTTCTCGACCAATGTAGCCAAGAATATCTCTTGTCCCTTCTTGATTCCCCTGGACACTTAAATTGCTGAGATCGTCTTGGCTTCAACTTGTTCTCGAGTGAAAGGAACGGACCATGTCCCTTAATCCCTCTTGATCATAATTGATCCGTCCTCCTCAAAAGAAAATGGCCTTATTGTGTCGATGAACTCAAGACCCAACACCAAAGGGAAGTCGTCCATATGTACGACCGTGAGATTTATGGTGCCACTCCATTGTCCCAGACAAATAGGAACCTTGTGCGCCACATCAAGGATAGGAACGGGCGATGTGTTGACTATCGTGCTCTTTCCTGGTTCCTTGGTGTACTTGATCCCCAACTTCGTTGCTTCTTTCTCAGTAATGAAGTTATGTGAGGCACCACAGTCCATGAGTGCCTTAGAAGCTCTCCCATTCACCAATGTATCGACAAACATAAGTGAGCCCTTCGGGCAAGGTAGTGTGCTTACCTTGACAACTTTGGCGCTCTCCTCAGCCTTTGTTGTGGCCCGTACGCTACTAAAGAGGCGCAACGACCCCATTTGTGCATTGTCCCCTGACTATTCTCCGCTCGAAGCTATGATGGCGCTGAGCTTCTGTCTCCTAGGGCAATCCCTTGCCCAGTGCGGCCCTCCGCACAAATAGCAGCCCCTATTGTTAGGCATGTCTGATGATGAAGAAGACGATGACGACCCCTTTGCCTTGTCCTTCTTCACAAATTTGTTGTTACTGGTGCTGCTTTTATCGTTGGGCTTGGCTCCCCCACCTTTTCCCTTGCTGCCATTGCTACGTCCATCCTTCTTTGTGTCCTTGTAGTCAACCAAGGACTCAGTAGCTGCAATGGCCTCAGCAAGTGTTTGAACGTTCCTCCTTTCTACCTCTTGCTGGGCCCATCGTTGTAACCCTCCAATGAATTATATGAGTTAAGTGGCCTCCGAAAGAACATCGATCTTTAGCACGAGGGTTGTGAATTGTTTGATGTACTCCTTGATGGTGCTGTTATGCTTGAGTTTTCGCAGCTTCATCATGGAGACCTTTGCTGCATCATGTGGACGTAATTGCTTATTGAAATCTTTCTTGCACTCCTCCCACATGCGGATGGAACAAGACCCATTCTTGATGTCTAGCTCACGTCTCCTACACCACAGTATGGCGTCATCACCAAGACACATCGTGGCAGCATTAATCTTGGAGGCATCCTCTTACAAGTGCATAGCCTCAAAATATCGCTCCATGCTCCATAGGAAGTTGTCAATTTCCCGGGCATCCCTCTTTCCATGATATTTCTGAGGCTTAGGGATCTCCACCTTAGGACCAGTTTGAATAGTTAAGCCCCCGGTCACCGCGGCCTTCCGTAGCAACGTGAGCTCCTCCTTGAGGAACTCGTTCTCCTTCTTCAAAGCAGGAGTTGCCTTGTGAACTCCTCACGCATCTTCACCATCTCGCCAATCATCTTCTCAAAAGCTTGGTCAACGAGTGAGTGAGCATCAAGGGATACCTCCATTAGACGATTGTCTAGATCCCCTAATTGATCTTTGAGCGCAATAACCTGATTTTCAACCTTGCCGACAGAATCCGTCATGTCGCAAGCAGCAACTTCGGCTTTGGCCGATCTCTCATCAACTTTATTCACTCGCCTCTCAAGCTTTTGGACAGCTTGAATGATAGCCTCAGGCCCATAGCCCTCGGTTGTCTGCGAAGCACTAGCGTCCTTGTCGTCCTTGCTCTTTATAGTTCTATCTCCTTCAGTCACAACTTGCTAACAAAGCTCGACAGCACTATAGTCCCCCGCGACCGAACCTGGCTCTGATACCACGTTGTCACGTGCTAACTTATCCCCCTAGTCTTCAGCACGCTAGCCCACTAACTTCCCTCTCTTGGATGCTAGTCAAGGCTGAACCCCGAAATGCTTTTTAAGCAAGTGTGTGCAACGAAAACTAAGATAATGTGAGAATACAAGAGAATAATAACTTTGAAGGCTTTTTGATTGCTTGAGAAAGAGTGTGTACAAGTGCTTTCTGAGATGCCTCCAAATGAAGGCCAAGTCCCCTATTTATAGGGTTCTAAGCATGGCCTAGAACCTTCACTAACCCTCAAATGGAGGGTTCTTGATCTAGCCTTTCTAGAGTTTTCTATACATTTCTTTAGTACATTCCTTCCAGGTACAATGCTCTAGAATGCTCTATACAATTCTAGTATTTACAGTTTATATGAGGATAACCTAGGAGGTTCTAGAAGCTTCCGAGTGTATCCCGAGCCTCCTTGAACATTCTAGAATCTTCCGGGCCCCATCTTCAAAATCCAACATACCATGAGGTTCATTGGACCCAAAAATGGTGATCCCCCAAGTTTGGGCACCATTGGACTTCGGTTGGGCCCCCAAATGGCCTATATTGTGTTACTGTCACTTGGGTGTTCACTAGGATTATACCACCTGGGCTAAATAAAGCTCTATAGGGGAAGGTGCTCAGCTGAGCACTAAGGGCAAGCCCCTATGCCACGATTGTTGCTTGCTGCCCAATGATCCTAGTGAGGGGTGGGGATGTGTGGATCGTGACACTTTGCTCACATGGAACTCGGCCTTTTGTGCCGACCAACTGTTTAGATATGCCCTTAATGGTTTGCTCGACCCTTTGATCAATAGTTTTACTGACCAAGTGAGCCTAGTGTCCAGCTAGCAGCTCGGCCACTATTAGGCTGTCTTGGCCGAGTAGTTATGCTCTCAAGGGTGAGCTTCGCAATTTTACTCGGTCGCCAAGTATGCCGCCTAGAAGCTCGGAGGCGAGAGTGACCTCACATGGAGCTCGTCACTAATGCCTAGCAGCCATGCCGAGTAGCTATGCTCTGGAGCACCTTCTTTTACATTTCATTCGGTGTTTTTGCCAACTTCGAGGGGCCGAGTTGCTATTCTCTTAGCCCCCAACGTTTACATTTTATTCAGCAATAGTCGTTCAGGTGGACACTTTCAAGTGTTTCTTTGCTGCATGTAAGCCGAGTATTAGTGTAGTTGGCATGCTCATGCAAAGAAAATATAAATAATGCTATGTGAACATACAGCTCACAAAAGCATGCATAGCATAATTATATAATATTATGATAATGGTGATTCATGCATGTCAAGTGCCTAATTATTCATTTTGTATGCATGGAATCTCTTGCTCGGCATTCCAAGCCATTCGGCTTTGTAATAAACTTTTTTTTATTTTTTTTTTATTTTTTTGTAAATCATATATATATATATATATATATATATATATATATATATATATATATATATATATATATATATATATATATATATATATTGCCGTTTGACTTTACTGCCTCATTAGGTTGTATGTACGCTATTGTAAAAACTCAGCACTTAAGTGACATTATATTGGTGTTGGCCGTTTGGCTTGGTATGTAGGCAATTTGCTAAGCTTGTAGCTCGGCAATTTCACACGGCCATGAATGCCGATTCGAAGCTCGAAGGAGATCCTTCGCTCAAGTGCAGCTCGGCCACCCCGTCCGGCTGTTTTGCTGCTTCCTATAAGCTGCCGAGCAGCTTGTCTTCAATGGGGCATAGAAGGTTGTTCACTCGGCCAAGACTGCCACTTAGAAGCTAGGAGGTGCATCTTCGCTTATGAGAAGCTCGGCCACCACACGCCGACCAGCGATGCTTGTGAAGGGGGAGCTTTCCCATTTCACTCGGCATTTGTCCTCAACTTGAGTAGCTTGCTAATACAAGCCCTTTTATGTTTAATAATCATGCCTTGGACGGAGCTCGGCGTTCAAGCCGCCTAGAAACAAAGAGGTGAGGTTGCCCTCACATGGAGCTCGGCATTCATCCCTTTTAACCATGCCGAGTTGCTATATTCTGAGCCACCAATGTCTGCATTTTCGTCCAGCGTTTTTGCCAAGCTACTATATTGCAAAGGCATAGCTATCAAATAACAGACGGCTTCCATACCGAGTAGCTTCATGAAATGCGGTTTAGAAACATGAGGGTGAGATGGTTTCTTACATAGAGCTCGGCCTTTATGCCGAGTAGCTATGCTCATGATAGTGAGCTCTCGAATTTTACTCGGCTTTGGTGGTCGTCCCACTGCCGTTCCATGAGATTCGGGGATCGGGGTAGCTCGGCAATTTTATGCCGTCCAAGTGTTAAACTCATGTACCCTCATACAACTTGTTAACCGAATACGGAGGTGCCGAGTATATATATTTCTCACATGAGAGTATATTTCTCACATGAATGAAATTGGATATGTTTATATATATAAAATATATGTGTACACACGCTACTCAAAGGTTAATATACTCCATGAGCATATATTAATAAATTTTTAGTGCTGCATGCATTTCATGATTTCATCCACCAAAATTGTATATATATACAAAATGGTAGAGTATTTGGGCGGCTTTTCCTTTTTTTTTTCCAATAATAATAATGATGTTTGATTTTGCTGCCCAAGTCTTGCATTCAGATAGGAGTTCATCTAATTCTCAGATGACAATTTGGGATCATTACG